CCCCCCCCCCAGCTAACCCCCCCTTCCTGCCCAGGTCTCAGATCTGTACGCAGCCCTTCCTGCACCTGCGCTACGAGCACACGGACTGCGCCCTCATGTGCTCGGCCAAGGGGCACCCGGCCACGTCCGATTCCTGCCGGGCCGGGGACTTCCGTGCCGCCTTCTGCAGCAGGTGGGTGTCCCTTGCCCCACGCGGGGGCCTGGGCCCCTCCTTCCCCCCTGCAGCACTGGGGCGGGGGCTGCCTAGGCACTGGGGGGAGGAGTTGCTGCCCAGTGCTTCTCCCAGAACGACTGACATGCACCGTGGCACGATCCTGAGGGCCCAGGGGTTAGTGGGCAGCACCTGCCCAGGGCTCGCTGGAGACTTGCCTTGTGGCTGCCAGGCCACTGCCCCTGTCCCACCTGTGGCCCAGAGGACCCCTGCCTTGCCCCCAGCGCCCTCGGCTTCCCCGCAAGGGGTGCAGTGGGGTTTGTTCCCAGCCACGTGCTGGGCTGCTAGGCGTCTCTGCAGCCCCGGTGCAGCATGTGTCTGGACTAACAGTTGCCTGGCCTTGCAGGTACCTGAAGGAGTTTGGCTTCACCATCCCTGGGCGCCCTGTGGTGGTGGATGACGTGCGTGTGCGAGGCATTGGCAGCACCGGGACTGGCCAGGATGAGCCAGTCGCGGCCAGTGGCAGACCCGCCCGTGTGGAGACGGTGAGACGCAGGCAGCAGCACTCTCCCACCCCGCCGTGTGCGCCCCTCTCCCCCCCTGGGGCTGTGGAGAGGGGATTGCTCCCTCCCTGCCTAGGGACAGGCAGGCTCTGGGATGGAGCACACCTATCCCAGGGCAATCCCACAATGCCCCCGCCAGTCAGTGATCTGCTGGTCCTCCCCCATGCCCTGCCTTGGAGCAGATCCCGGGGGCTCAGCTCTTCCCAGACAGCCCTGCCCCGGGGGCAGGGCACGCGGTGCGGCACAACGGGCACCTCTCCCGGGCAGCACAGGCCCGCGGGGTGCTGAGTGCAGGGGCCCAGGCGTGGCTGACTGCGCTGAGCTCTGCCCTGTGGCTCCAGATGGCTCCTCTGGGGCAGGGCAGGATCAGTGCCTGGGTCTTGCCTGGCCTGGCCCATCAGTCTGAACTGCTGAGACACTGGCTCCATCTATGCCGGGGCGCAGGGGGGGGGTTCCCTGTTAAGTGATGCACAACGGGGCGGGGTTGGGGGAACCTGGGCCCAGGCACTCTCAGGGCATCCCCTCTTCTCCCTGGGCAGGTGACCCGCTGCTATTTCGCTGATGGCTACCTGGACACCTGCGTGTACCTGCTGGAGGATCTGTCCTGGGACCACTCCATCCCTGGCCCCAGCATCATCATCGATAAGAACAGGTGGGAGGGGGGTAGATGGAGCCCGGACACTTGGGTACTATTCCCATTGCTGGGGGGAGAACCTGGGCCAGTGGTTAAAGCAGGGCGCTGGGCATCAGGACGCCTGGGTTCTGGGCCCGGTGTTGAGAGGGTAGAGCTGGGCGGGCCTGAGATCGGTGGTCAGCGCTCCTGGGTGCTGTTCCCAGCCCAGCCTCTGACTTGCTGTGTGGCTGGGGAAGTCTCCGTCCCTCCTGCGCGAGAGGCCGTGCAGGTGCTTCAGGGAGTTCTGGAGGTGGGTGATGATGGATGTCCTGGGGGGTGATGGGAAGTGCTGCCCTGGGGGACCCTCCCACGGGCGTGTGCAGTAACCCAGCCTCGTCCCTCAGCACCATCCTCATCGAGCCGGGCTGCACGGCCTCCATCACCCGCCATGGGGACATCAGCATTGCCGTGGGCTCCGAGAAGCAGGGCCCCATCAGCACCCAGCTCGACACCATCCAACTCTCCATCTTCTCCCACCGCTTCATGGGCATTGCAGGTGAGGCTGCGGCACCAGGCCAGCACCCAGGCCCTGTCTCCACGTGTGTCGTCCAGGAAATTCTCTCGTTCTTTTCTGAGCCCTGTTATGGTCTTGGCCTTCACAACATCCTCTGGCAAGGAGCTCCACAGGTTGACTGTGTGTTGTGTGAAAAAATACTTCCTTATGTTTGTTTTAAATCTGCTGCCTGTTAGTGGCTGGTTTAGAAACAACAAATCCTGCATCTCAGCAGGGGGTTAGACTAGGTGGCTGTTGCGGTCCCTTCTAACCCTGTGGTTCTATGATTCTAGTTTCATTGGGTGACCCCTGGTTCTTGTGTTATGTGAAGGGGTAAATGACACTTCCCTATTCACGTTCTCCACATCATTCATGATTTTTAGACCTCTATTATATCCTCCCTTAGTTATCTCTTTTCTAAGATGAAAAGTCCCAGTTTTGTTAATCTCTCTTCATATGTACGTTTTCCAATTCTAATGTCGCTTTTTTGGGATGGGGTGACCAGATCTGCACACAGTATTCAAGGCAACGTGATATTTTCTGTCTTCTTATCTATCCCTTTCCCAATGATTCTCAACATTCTGTTCGCTTTTTTGACTACCGCTGCACATTGAGTGGATGTTTTCAGAGAACTATCCACAATGACTCCAAGATCTCTTTCCTGAGTGGTAACAGCTAATTTAGACCCCGTAAATTTGTATGTAGAGTTGGGATGATGTTTTCCAATGTGCATTACTTTGCATTTATCACCATTGAATTTCACCTGCCATTCTGCTGCCCACGTTAGGGCTTCCCCTCCTCCTCCCTTGGTTCTTGTCACCCAGACAGAAAGCAGAAGGCCAGAGTCCAAAGTGCAGGCAATGCCATGTTTATTGGGGTTACCAAACAAGCATAATCCACAGCTCTGTACACCAGCAGAGCTTTTCCCTGTCCCCCTCCTCTTTATTAACAGGTCAGTTATGCCTATAGTGCACGCCCCAGGCACCACCTTTACCATTTATGGTCATGTTCCATTTTGGAGGGTTGAGAGTCTGGGGGCTTCGGTACCACCTCTCTTGTACCCCAAGGGAAGGGTAGGGAGTGAGGCCAGGCTTTTCTTCGGCTTTTCTTATGCCTCCCCTCCTCAGCTCCCTTTGCCCCTCCTGACAGTTTCCTTGACCTTGGCTTGGGAGGGGAGTTGTACACCAGACCCAGCAACACTTCAGCTCTATTCCGTATCTTTTCTCATTATACTAAAAACCCCATCTGGCTGTGGGCAGAAGCAACACCAGTGACCTTGTTCCTTGTTCACACATGTTAGTAAGTCAAATGGGCAAACGAAACCCAGAATTTTATCTCAGGCAAATTTGCAGTCCTAAAGACTATATTACCATCACTAACAGACCAGGCACCCAGTTTTCTGAGATCCCTTTGTAGCTCTTTGCAGTCTGCCTGGGACTTAACTATCTTGAGTAGTTTTGTATCATCTGCAGACTTTGCCACCTCACTGTTTACCCCTTTTCCCAGATCAGTTATGAATATGTAGAACAGCACTGGGCCCAGTACAGACCCCTGGGGGACACCACTATTTAACTCTCTCTCCATTCTGAAAATGGACCATTTATTTCTACCCTTTGTTTCCTGTCTTTTAACCAGTTACCGATCCAGGAGAGGACTTTCCCTCTTATCCCATGACAGCTTACTTTGCTTATGAGCCTCCCTGCAGAGAGGTGGGGAAACCCCTCTCCCCCCTAGGCCTTGGGTGCCAGGTGCCACTGTCCTGCTGCAGGCTTTGCCATCGTTCACTGCTGTGGGGTCGGCTGGGCCAGTCCTTTCCAGAGACCTCTCCCGGCTCAGACAACTGGGCACCATTCAAACCCAGGCCTCAGCCTGCCCCGAGAGCACATGTGAGGTGAGGAGTCACTCCTGTGCCAGGCGCCAGCCAGCCCCCCAGCCAGGAGCTGGGCTGTGACTCCCAGGGCAGGTATATAAGCCCCACGGGAGGAGCAGCAGCTCAGTCTGCTCAGTGTGACGCCAGGGCCTGGAACTCTCTCCTGCCTGACAGTGACAACAGAGCCCCCAGCCTGAGCCTGCTCCAGCCCTGCTCTTGGGCCCAGGCCCACCCTGTTCCTAGTCCTGCTCCAGCCTTGCTCTCACGCCAACCCCGTCCGGACGCCTGAGTCTGGCTCCGATCGCTAGGCCTTAGCAGCCCCTCACCATTTCAGACAAAACAGCCCTTTCCTTCCCCCTCCTGCCCCCACGACGGTCGCCATATAGAGGAAACTGAGCCACACTTAGGCTTCATAAAGATACTACAGAAAATCCCCACTTTGAGTGCTCTCAGCTGGGCCCCTCCCACAAGCCCGGGGGGCTGGGCAGGGCAGTGCTTGGATGGGAGACTTCCCAGGATGCCAGAAGCTGCTGGGAGCAGCATGGGGGGCCCAGGAGGTCCCCTTGCAGTTAGTGCTGACCCTAGTGCAACACTAGGGGGCGCTGCACAGCTGGATGTGTTGCTAGGATCTCTGGAACACGTACCCCAGAGTTGGGGTGTTAATCCCACTGTCCTGGCCCCATTCTAATCAGGTGGAGCTCCTTCTGTCTCTCCAAATCCCCCCCGCAGCTTCAGCTGGAGCACAGACTCTCCTTCACTTCCTGTCCCAAGCTGCTGAAGAGCCCTGCTGTGTGGCTGTTACCTAGCTGTTCCATGCTCCACCCCCGAGGCAGCTGCATTTCAAACAGCATCTTTCAAACACACTGTCGCCCAAGGGTCGCCCCGGTTCAGTCAGGGGGTGTGGGGCTCTGAGCGGCTTGTAGGACAGGGAGGTGAGAGGCGTTTGTGGCTGAGATTTGGGAGGAGCTGCCGGGTCCATGATACAGAGGCCGCTGGAGTGGCGGTGAAGAAGGCTCGTGCACGGAGAGCGTGTGGCACTGATGCGAAGTGCAGACAGGCTGGTGCTGGGGAAGTGGGGGAGAGACGGACCCGTGATGCCAGCTGGAGGCAGGGATGGAGGGGGACTCTGCCCAGCCTGCTGAGCTGCCTGGGTTGTGGGAAGGGTGGGTGCGTGGCCATGGGGGGTGCCCGTGGGGCTGGGATTCCTATGGAACAGCTCCCTCCTTGGCGTCGGTAGCAGTCGCTTCATCTCGCCCTGCAGAGCAGATGGGCCGGAGCCTGCAGAGAATGGCCATCTCCACCAACATCAAGGAGCGGCTGGACTTCTCGTGTGCCCTCTTCGGGCCGGACGGGGGGCTGGTGTCCAACGCTCCCCACATCCCCGTGCACCTGGGTGCCATGCAGGAGGCCGTCCAGTTCCAGGTAGGCGTAACCGCAGCACACACCTCCTTGGCATCCCCCTGCACCCTTGCTCTGCGCTTCGTGGGCTGGGCCTGTGGCTCCCCCTGGGCGGCCCCTGAGCGCCGCTCTCGGTGCCGTTTCAGATCCGGAACCTCGGGGCTGACCTGAACGAGGGCGATGTGATCCTCAGCAACCACCCATGTGCGGGGGGCAGCCACCTCCCAGACCTGACTGTCATCACACCTGTGAGTACCACCGGCAGGGCCCGGGCAAGGGGCAGCTGGTGCCGCTGGGCTGCAGCTCCCCATGTCAGATCCAGCCAGGAGCCGTTCTCTGTCTGGGGGCAGCCCTGGGGCCCACGAGTGACATGAGTTTATGGGTCTCAGCCCATTTCTGAGCAGGCAGCTGTCCCCACCCCAGAGGTGCCAGCCCCCAGGGCACTGTGGCCTCAACAGAGAGGCCAGGGGCCAAGCGGGGCTGGCAGGCTGGTGACTCAGGGCAGCGGGTGGCCCAAAGGCAGGGGTAGCGGATGGGGGTTGCCCCACACCTTGCTGTGCCCCGCCCTGAGCCCCTGCAGGGCATGTGGGTCCCTGGCCCCGATTCCAGCTGCTCTCCCCTCCCAGGTGTTCTGGCCAGGGGTGCCAAGGCCCGTGTTCTTCGTCGCCAGCCGTGGGCACCACGCGGACATCGGCGGCATCACGCCCGGCTCCATGCCCCCACACTCCAAGGCACTGCAGGAGGAAGGCGCTGTCTTCGTCTCCTTTAAGTTGGTGAAGGACGGAGTCTTCCAGGAGGAGGGTGAGTCTGCTGGGGGGCAGGATGGGGGCTCCATGCATGAGCTGGGGGGAGCAGCTAAGCAGCCTTGGGCTGGATTTGCATGCGGATGGGAGACCCCCGAAGGGATCCCTGCGCTCTGGCCGCGGGGGAGCTGTCTTCCTGACCCTGGCATGAGCTCCCCTTCCATGCCAGCAGGGTGGGTGGGCTCGGTCTCCGAGCCCTGCGGGGGGTGCAGGATTTGTTCATTGGGTGTTTGCCTCCCCAAGGCCCAGGCTGGGGATTGGGTAGATCTCGTCCCCCGATAGCACCGTCCTGCCCAATCGAGACCCTGGGAACCAGTGTGCCGCGTGGGGAGTGAATATCCCAGCATGCAGTGCAGCCCATGGTGCATGCTGGCACCTGTCTCCAGGGGCCCGCTCACACCTGCCCTTCCTCTCAGCAGCTGTGACCGAGGCCCTGATGGCTCCCGGCCGCATCCCAGGCAGCAGCGGCACCCGCAAACTCCAGGACAACCTGTCGGACCTACAGGCGCAGGTGGCGGCCAATCAGAAGGGGATCCAGCTGGTGAGCGAGCTGATTGGCCTGTACGGGCTGGAGGTGGTGCAGGCCTACATGGCACACATCCAGGTAAGGGGGGGCTGCAGGAGAGGGGCCTGGTCTGGGTTCCTGGGGCTGGTGTGCCCTGATCTGTGTGCAAAGCAGGGGGACCCCTGGGCTCCCCTGCCCCCCACGTCCCGTTCCCAGCCGCGCCCCGGCCCTGGCGTAGCCCCCAGCCCCCCTCACTGCCCCGCTCTGCCCCACAGGCCAACGCGGAGGTGGTGGTGCGGGACATGCTGAAGGACTTCGCCGCTCGCTTGGGGGGAGCGACGCGCCCCATGGCAGTGCAGGCGCAGGACCACATGGACGACGGCTCCCCCATCCGGCTGAAGGTGGAGGTGGACCCACAGGAGGTGAGCCAGGCCCCTCTGCTGGGGGTCGGGGCTGATGTCAGGAGCTCTTGGGGGGAGGGGGATCTGCAGGGGGAGGAACTGGGGCAATAGCAGGAGGATGAGAGAGTTGGGGGGAGCCAGCTGGCAGGAGGAGAGTTAACCCAAAGGTGGGGGACCCAGGGGCAGAGGTAACCTCCCATCTGATGAGTGAGCAGGGAGGGGGCTGGGGGTGACTCGGGGGGGTGAATCTGTGGGGGAGGAGGGAGGAGCTAGGATATCGGGGCAACTCTGATGGGGGAGGTGGGTGCTGGGCTGACCCGGGCGGGGGGGAGGGGGGGCCGGGGGGCGGGGGGGCCCCCTTGGGGGGGGGGGAGAGGCAGAGCCCCGTTCTGAGCCCAGCTCTCCGCAGGGCAGCGCAGTGTTTGATTTCTCCGGCTCTGGCCCCGAGGTGCATGGGAACTGCAACGCGCCCCGCGCCATCACCCTCTCGGCACTGATCTACTGCCTGCGCTGCATGGTGGGCCAGGACATCCCACTCAACCAGGTGGGGCCCCGCCCTGGGGCGCCGGGTGTGTGTGGGTGTGTGAGGAAGTGGGGGATTTTCTTGTTTGTTTTCTTGTTTTCAGTGGGGTTTCAATGGTTTGCATGCGGAGGGGGTAGGACTGGGACGTGCTGGGCTGAGGGAGGCCAGGCCTGAGGCCCTGAGAGTTTCCTGTGCTGTGTTCAACTCTCAATAAACCCTCCTGTTTTACGCTGTCTGAGAGTCACTCCAGTCTAGAGAACAGGGGGCATCAACCCCTTCGGGGGGGCTCACGGCAGAGACGTGCTAAGGCTCAGAGAGGTGCAGCTCCAGGAGGTGGAGGGGCCTAACACCGAGAGAGAGTGGACCCCCGAGAAGGGCTGTCGCACTGAAAGGGGCACCCCCCACGGACCGCACGGGGCCAAGAGTGGGCATGATCTGTGAGTCCGTGACAGGGGGTTCGGCTCCCCCCAGCCTGCTCCCCCTTCGGTCCGTGCTAGCAACTGGACAGTTAGTGTTGGGGGGAGACCTGCCCACTACAGACTGAGCTGAGACCCAGCAAACTCCTAGCACACAGCAGCCAGTCACTGTCCCCTGGCTGGTCTCAGGGGTGAGGCCCCAGGCCAGGGGGAAGCGGGGTCTGCAGGGCAGAATGGAGGGTGTTGGGGGGCATGTGCCTGAGCCCCTTTACACAGGAGCAGGGGGGAGCCAGGGCATCTCCCCCCAGACTGTGCCCCCATGCCAGGGATCCCAAGGGCGTGACACGCAGCAGAGCGCAGCTGTCCCCAGGTCCCTGCATGCACGGCTCCTCCTTGAGCCGAGATGGGGTGCTGCAGGCCGGGGTACAGCAGGGCTGGGAGCTGCGGTCTCTGAGTGGGGCCGGGGCTGGGGCAGGGTGCTGGAAGCTGAGGTCTCTGGGTGGCACCGGGGCTGGCACAGGATGCTGGGAGCTGAGGTCTCTGGGTGGCACCGGGGCTGGCACAGGGTGCTGGGAGCTGAGGTCTCTGGGTGGCACCGGGGCTGAGGTCTCTGGGTGGCACCGGGGCTGGCACAGGGCGCTGGGAGCTGAGGTCTCTGGGTGGCACCGGGGCTGGGGCTGGCACAGGGCGCTGGGAGCTGAGGTCTCTGGGTGGCACCAGGGCTGGCACAGGGCGCTGGGGGCTGAGGTCCCTGGGTGGCACCAGGGCTGGCACAGGGCACGCTGGGAGCTGAGGTCTCTGGGTGGCACGGGCGCTGGTAGCTGAGGTCTCTGGGTGGCACCAGGTTTGGGGCTGGCATAGGGCGCGCTGGGAGCTGTAGGCCCGCTGTATGCCCCCTATGGCTGCGCACTGGCCTGGAGCCGTGGGTTCAGCCCTGGCTCGGCGGAGGCCAGAGGGGCGGGGGTGCTCGGGGTTGCCTAACGCCCTCTCCCCCACGGCAGGGCTGCCTGGCCCCGGTGCAGGTTCTCATTCCCAAGGGCTCCATCCTGGACCCGTCCCCGGAGGCTGCCGTGGTGGGAGGCAACGTGCTGACCTCGCAGAGGGTGGTGGACGTGATCTTCAGGGCCTTCGGGACCTGCGCTGCCTCCCAGGTGAGCGCGGGGGGAGTGGGGGCGGCATGCCCTGTGTGGGGCTGGGGAGGGGCGGCTGTGGAGCTGGGCCCTGGGGTTCTCCTTCGCTGGGGCTAGGACAGGGGCACATGGGGCCTGGCGATTGCTCCAGCCTGCGGGCGAAGGGCATGGGCGGCTTGGAGGCTGCGCCCAGCCCAGGGGAGTTCCCTGCTGAACGGGCCCAGGCAGCTGGAGGCTTCCCGCAGGCTGGGGCTGGGCATCCCTTGGGGTGGGGCTGTGCCTCCTCCAACTGCCCTGGCTGGGGCTGGGCCAGGGCCTGGCACAGGGCTGGGACTGCCTCTCCTCTGGACTGGGACCCCACGGCAGGGCGGGTTTGCTGGCACCGGGCGGGTTTGCTCTCCCGTCGGGGGCCTGGGGCCGGCTGTCCCGTCGGGGGTCTGGGGCCGGCTGTCCCGTCGGGGGTCTGGGGCCGGCTCTCCCGTCGGGGGGCTTGGGGCCGGCTCTCCCGTCGGGGGTCTGGGGCCGGCTCTCCCGTCGGGGGTCTGGGGCCGGCTGTCCCGTCGGGTCCCCGGGGCCTGCTGTCTCGTCGCGGGGCTTGGGGCCGGCTCTCCCGTCGGGGGCCTG